ATGTAGAATAAATGTAATTGTTTTCACGATCAAAGTCTTTAAAAAATTAGGCCAACACAAGAACTTTGCCGTTTAACATAGCAAATGACAACAATTCTATGACTAGTAAAAAAAAAAAACATTAAATTTGGACGGCCCGGACATTTGATACCCTCCACCATTTGAAAACCAGTAAAGAAAGTTTTAAAGTCGGGTGGGGCCGACTTTATGATACCCTACAGCACTTTGCTAATTTAGTAGAGCTCCACATGACAATTAAAAGTTTTTATGGGAGAATTCAATCATACACCCTATGATTATAATTGTAATTTAAAGTTCAAAAGACTAAATATGCCGAAGCATTTGTATCTTTTAAATTCGGACTTGTATTGCCCATTTAATATATATGGGAGCTATATCCAAATCTGAACCGATCCTGATAGAATTTGGCAAAGATATTTCTGAGCTGTATTTCATATATTTCCCTGAATATCGTTGTTACGGAGTACATATTACGGCTGTGGGTAACAAATATAACAAATCGGATGAACAATATATATGGGAGCTATAGCTATATCTGAATTGATCTTCACCAAATTTGACATACTAGCTTCAAGACTCAATTCGGTCGTAAGTGCCAAATTCCATCCCATTTGGACAAATATTAGACGTTTGGTGCACAATAAAAGGTAAATCGGACGAAGTTATATATGGGAGCTATATCCAAATCTGAACAGATCTCGATAAAATTTAGCAAATGTATTTCTGAGCTGTATTTGATATATTTCCCCAAATATTGTTGTTACAGAGTGCATATTACGGCTGCGGAGCACAAAAATAACAAATCGGTTGAACAATATATATGGGAGCTATAGCTATATCTGAACCAATTTCGATCAAATTTGGCATACTTATTTTCAGGTCTAATTTGGTTGTATGTGCAAAATTCCATACTATTCGGGCTAATATAACACGTTTGGTGCACAATAAAATGCAAATCGGACGAAGATATATATGGGAGCTATATCTAAATTTTGACCGATTATCTCCAATTTTAATAGGGTTCGTCCTTGGGCCAAACAAATGAGTTGTGCAAAATTTCATCTGGATCGGATAATAAATGCGAACTGTACTTTGTTTACAAAAATACATGGTCAGGCGGACGGACGGACATGCATAAATCGACTCAGAAAGTGATTCTATGCAGATCATCAAAAGGAACTATGGGTCTATCTCGTTTTCTTTTGCCTGTTACAAACAAATGCACAAAGACATAATACTCTGTGGTGTAGGGTATAAAAAAAGACAAAGTGGGACGTTAATGGGGGCCATAACAAAACGGGAATCTATATGGTAATTGGTAATTGTTGCCAAAATCTTTAAAATACAGGAAAATAAGAGATACCTCTGTAAATGCATGCATAGGGAGCCTATATTTACAGTTTTCATCATGAATGGCCCAATGTCTTTAAGATCATAAATCATCAAATTACAAATATGTTGGTGTTTGGAGATACAACTTTAAAAAATGCTCGAAATCGACAGGCGGTTGTGCCAAACGTTTTATATGAGACTAGCAAGTGCCCAGTACTTCGTCGGTGAAAATTTCACCTTAAAATTTTAGATTCATTCCAACAGTTCGAGTTAGGTCTTTTTAGTAATCGAAACGCACAATTTGTTAAGTTTGACATTTTTTTAACAAAACTTCATATATCGTATTAAATTTTCAGACTTTCAAGTATTATTATTATTATTTTTTTTTCAAGTATTTCCTTTTTCGGAAAAATAATAGGAAAATATTTAGCTTTTACTCCAAGAAGTCTTTAAAATCATTCAATTTGAAATTTATTCAGGAGGATATTGGCAAACCCATCGCACAGTGGCCCCATATCCAATTTTTATGTCCAAAACTATTTCAACACCTCCATATGAAAACCCTAGAAATCTACAACGTCCTCAATATCAAATTTCAGAATTTCAACGCTATCCTTTTACCCAATATCAAATGTAGTAAAACAATATACATTTGACCATAAACAATACACATAGACACTAACAGTGATCCAAAATTAATACCATTTAGTACTTTTCGAACAATTATATTATGCAAAACCACCATCAGATCTCATTACCAGAATCCAACGGAGAGCTCAGTATCAAACTTCAGGCTTTACCTTTTCGCCCAATACCCAATTTAATAAAACTTAGTACTTTTCGAATAATTATAGAACACATTTCCAAAACCAGCTCCTTCTCTCAACCACAGACACCAGCAGTGACATCCAAATCAAATTTCGGGATATCAGATATATTCCTTAGTACTATTTCTCGTCCTTTCGTACATTTATAGTACACATTTCCAAAATCACCTCCATATCTTATCACCAGATACAAACGGAGACCTTAATATCAAATTTCAGTCTTTCAGCTCTATTCTCTTGCCCAATAACGAATTTAGTACAACTTAGTACTTTTGCGAATAATTGTAGTACACATTTCCAAAACCAGCTGCTTCCCTCAACTACAGACCCCAGCAGTGACATCCATATGAAATTTCACGATTTCAGCTCTATCCTACACCCAATGCCCTATTTAGTGCCATTCAGTACTTTAAATACAATTATAGTACATATTTCCAAACCCACCTCCACATCATAATTCCTGATGCCAACAGAGACCTCAATATTAAATTTGAAAATTCCAGCACTATACCTCACCCGTTACCAGAGTGGATGTCATTCCTAAGCCACTCGTCGGACCGCTGTTAAAATTATTTCAGTGACAGCTCATTGTATTGTTTACAAGCGTACAAAAGCATTTTTGTGAGAATTTTTCAGAAAAGAAGTTATTCGTGATGGAATTCAAGCGTGATAGTGTAATTTCTTTATATTTGGCTGGAAAACCACAAGTGGCTATCGTTAGAGCACTCCAGCATTTAAATGTGAATAAATCTTTTGTGTCTCGTACCATCGCTCGTTACGGTGATACTAGAAGCGTAGCCCGACGTCAAGGAAGTGTATGGAAGAAAACAGCAACATCAGCAAAAATGGTTCGAAAAGTAAAATAGCGGCTGGATCGAAACCCGCGTAACAGTGGCCGAAAAATGGCTTGTGAGCCGAATATATCGCAATATTCCATTCGGACAAATATTGAAAAATGAGCTCGGAGTAAAGCCATTGAAATTTCAAAAAGTGCAAGAAATTAACCCCAACAGAGCAAAAAAAGACTCAAAAGAGCCAAAAAGTTGCTTCGCTTGGCCGAAAGTGGTGAACTGCCGATTTTAGTTTCCAGCAGTTTGTAAACAAACAAAATGATGGTGTTGATTTGCCAAAGAGGTCAGTTGAAAATGTGCACCTTCGGTTGGCCACCAGAACACAAGAGAGGGCCATGGTGATGTTGTGGGCCGCCATAACAGCCGATGGTCGCTCTCCGCTTGTATTAATCAGAATAAATGCCGAATATTATGGCGAAAATATTCTGGAGGGTGTATTAAAGCCTTGGGCACGCAAACAGTTTGGCTGCAGACCTAGGTCATTCCAACAGGACTCAGCACCATCGCACTCAGCACGCGCCACCCAAGAATGGTTACAAAATGAGGTTCTCCGCATCATTTCCAGCGCACAATGGCCACCAAAATCTCCGGATACCAATCCGTTGCACTATTGTGTCTGGAGTATTTTGGAAAACAAGGTTGTCACTAAAAATACCAAAGTGTCGATCACCTCAAGTAAGCGCTTCGCCGGGAATTGGCCAAAATACCACAGAGAACAACATTCGAGCAGCGTGTGACGGTTTCATTGGCCGTTTGAAGGTCATAATTCGTTTTTTTTTATCTGACCCTGTATCTTGAGTATTTCGAGGAGTTACAAATGGAATGACAAATTTAATATGCCCCCTATATAATGGTATATGGTATTAAAAGTAAAAAGGTCGTATTTCTGTTCGACACAGAGAACCTTGTAACCTAGTTCCATCCATAAATAAGGGAAAAAATTCTGAAATGTCTTAAAAAATAAAAAACTTGTGCCTTTAAAAGGGATTTCTATAATACCCGCAGAACAAGTAGAGTAAAGGGCACCCTCGTCGATCATTTGCTCTATTTCCAGTGTTTGTAAGACCAACCAGATAGTATGAGTGTCAACACCGGCTACCCTAAACTTGATAAGTATGGACTTCCACAAGAAAAAAATCACATCGTTGTAACCATGACCCACCACCAAGGCTACCTGTAATAATATTTTCCGATCGATTTGCGAATAAGTCCTTAATCGTAGTTAAGCCGCTTATGTGGAACATCCTGGGAGAATTCCGCCAAAAAGAAAAAATCTACTTAAGGGTTTTCTATCTGTAGCGACTACGGTCTATTATGTCCAAGACCTTTCCAAATTCGAAGTTCGAAGTCTAATTAATATAAATTTAATTAACATTGTATAATTATGTTTGGAACCATTAATCTCGTTCATAATCTCATGCCTGTCGCAGCACACTTTTCCCATAAAAATGCATTCAAGTAATTGCCCTTGGGTCACACAAACAATTTTATGGACCCTACAAAAGTTCATTGCACTCAAGATGCAAAATTTCCGAAATTGCTTTTTGTTTAACTAAATGTTCTTGTTTATTTTATTTTGCGCAATTTTATTTGACTATTTTTATGTTTTTCCCTCCTCCTCTTTATTATTTTGAATTCTAGCGACATGAAGACAACTTAGGCCTGGCAGGTAAAAAAACATAAGTTAGTTATCGCCAGCAGTTTTTTTTCTTGATTCTAAATTTCACCAGCGACGAGGAAGATTAGATAAAAACAAAACAATGACAACAACACGAAACAAATGGTAATAAAAATGGTTGAAAAGTAAAACAACGGGTTTATTGTTTTAGGGCAAAAAAGAAGTACTGCAAAAATTTTAATCCACAACCGCCCCTATGATTTCTATCAAACACACATTACTCTCGTGGCCACTTGATTGCCTTTGATGTGTCTTTTTTGCTTTGTTTTCGTCCTCCACTTTGTCACTTACCTTTCCACGCATTTCCGTAAACATGTCTATCCAATTCAGGTACAAATAGAGACCGGCCAGGATCGATAGAAATCCGATGCCGATAATTAGAAACCGTTTGATGCACAGACATTGCTGTGAAGTCATGACGCCGCCGCAGGAACCGGTAAACCGGAAACGTAACACAAAACTGGATATACCGTCGTCGTCGTTGTCGTACCGTCGTAGAATTTTCTGTTTCTGTTTCAGGTGGTTCAGAACAACGATGGCCCAACCTTGAAAGTTGTCAACTGTTTGCTAAAATCCGTTGAGCAACGATCTGTTTTTGTTTTGTTTGTGTGTATTTTGAGAGTAGGAGAGGTTGTTGCTCTCTCTCTCTCTCTCTCTGGGTGTCGTTCTCAAGTACTCAGCTGTATTATCAATGAATAACAAACCAAACCAAACGATGAGACATCAACGAGAAAAATTGAGAGTGGGATTTTGTTCATAACCTGAAAAGAGAAGAGAAAACAAAAATTGAGGAATGAGGGAATTTCTCAAACACAAAGTTGTTGTAACGAGAGCAAGAGAATAACAAATGTTATTAACACAGACATTTTAACAGATAGAACACTTAACATTAAATAAATAAGAATAAATAATAATAAAACGAAATAAAATAAAACACTGAATTGGCAAGACCTAAGTTTTGAAACCGCTTTAGGATTGGAAAAATGTTAGAAAGTTTTAGACGACATTTTGACAGGTGTATACCCTCCCTTAGCCTTTGTCAACTTTTTATCGGACGTACATAAACCAACTAAAATAGTAGAGTGATGAGTAAGTGACGGATTCACCAATGCCTAGGCGAAAAAGCTGAAAAAAGAATATTGAAATGTTGCATGTGGGTCAGAGGCTGATGTGTTGAAAATTCGTACTAAAACGTACAAACAAATGAATTTAAAGTATTGGGCATACGTAAATGGCTATACTTCTGAAATTTGTAATGAAAATTACTATTGGAGATACTAACTAGTAAGGAAAGATAAAAATTCGGGCGGGGCAGACTATACAGGGTGAGATAAAAAACATTGCAACAAAGACAAACGCCATAATTTTTTCATTTTTTTAAATGTTATTGAATGAAAGCAAAAAATATCGGAAGTAGCATTACATTTTAGAATAAGTTTAGATTTTTTCGAATTGGTCACCTATGGCACGAATTATTGCCTTCAAACGGCCAATGAAACCGTCACACGTTGCCTGAATGTTGCTCTGCGGTATTTTGGCCCATTCCCGGCGAAGCGCTTGCTTGAGGTGATCGACACTTTGGTATTTATTAGTGCCAACTTTGCTTTCCAAAATACACATTTTCAGCTGACCTCTTTGGCAAGTAAACACGATCATTTTGTTTGTTTACAAAGTGCAGAACAACGAATGTTTTCTCATCGGAGAAAACCAAATTCGGCAGTTCACCACTTTCGGCCAAGCGAAGCAACTCTTTAACTCTTTTGAGTCTATTTTCTTTATGTTGCGGTGTAAGTTCTTGCAATTTTTGGTATTTCAATGGCTTTACCCCGAGTTCATTTTTCAATGTTTGCAGAATGGAATATTGCGATATGTTCAGCTCACGAGCCATTTTTCGGCCAATGCGATGCGGGTTTCGATCAAGTCGCTTCTTTACGTTTCGAACCATTTCTGCTGATGTTGCTCTTCCGTCCACTTCTTTGACGTCGGGCTACGCTAGCAGTATCACGGTAACGAGCGATGGTACGAGACACAAAAGATTTATTCACAACATTTAAATGCTGGAGTGTCTAACGATAGCCACTTTTGGTTTTCCAGCTAAATATTACAAAATTACACTATCACGCTTGAATTCCATCACGAATAACTGTTTTTCTGGAAAAATCTGAACAAAATGCTTTTGTACGCTTGTAAACAATATAATAAGCTGTCACTGGAAAAATTTTAACGGTTGTCGGACGAGTGGCTTAGAAATGACAGTAGTCCGAAGATGGTTGCAGTTTTTTCATCTCACCCTGTATTGTTATCAGTAATATTGCAGGAGACACAATATATATATAAATTGCAAGGACTCCAAGGAAGAGTATTCCGAAAATTGAAAATTTAGATTTTGAATTGTTATTCAAAATGTCGAATCTTTGTGAAGGAGTTACCAGAAAAAAATGGACCGATTAAGCCCATTTTCACACTGACAAATATTAAGTTTGAACCCTATTCAAATATACCCCGTTGGTTTCTTTAAGGTAATGGTCTTCTTTCTAGAGAAGACTTTAAGAAGGTCACATTTGTATAAGGTCTTCTTTCTGCAGATGGCCAAAAAGAGGGTCTTCTATCTTTAGAAGACCAGCAGAAGTTCTCTTGCCTACAAAAACTTACGGAAAGTCTTCTATCTATAAAAAATCCGAAAATCCTCTTTGTATTAACATGAGACCATCTCCAGACCCTCTTGTGCATGTCTTCTGTAGACAGAAGACTATCTGCAAGTCTTTTGTAAAAAGAAGATCATTTGCAGGTTTTTATGGGTGCGTCTAGAAGACCTTCAGCTGGTCTTCGATGGACAGAAATCCTACTTCTGTTCCTCTGTATATATTCAATTCTTTCTATCCATTCTGTGCAGCAATTTCACTTCATTGCAACGCAATCAAAATCGTAATTTTCTTAATTCGATAATGTTAATTTGAAAATAACAAAAATCATACGATTAATTGACAAAATAGACTTCTGGCTGCCAGGCACGACGGCGTGCCAAATCAGCTCCTACACATAATTTGTTGTATTAAATGACAATTGCAAAGCAAAGCGACAGTGTGTGTTCACTTCAGGAAGCTGTTATTCCAAGCAATTGAAAAACAACAGCTCCACCACAGAGTCTCCACTGATTTTGTGTGCTCTGGGTGATGGTGTCACTTGGTATTGCGTTTCTAAAAGCTTCCTTCCCCGCCAGCTACTCGAATTTCAATCGACATGAATTTCTTGATACAAAAACTTTTACTGAATGAGCGTTTTTCTTTTCTTGTTCGACGTAGAAGAATGTGGTGAGATTTATTTGCTAGTTGTAAATAAGTGAATATAAATGTATGTGCGGCGCGACGAAGTGTAAATGAAATTAATTTAGTTGCCTGACAAAAATATGAGGGTGCCGAATATTAGGGTGGGTAACAGAAATTAATTTATGAATTCAAAAATATATAAAAGCAAGTTAATAAAATCAAAATATAAGAGCAAGAGCCCGTGTTAGACCTTTCTAGAACATATACAGGATGAGATGAAAAAACTGCAACCAACTTCAGACTGCTGTCATTTCTAAGCCACTCGTCCGACAGCTGTTAAAATTATTCCAGCGACAGCTCATTATATTATTTACAAGCGTACAAAATCATTTTGGTGAGAATTTTCCAGAAAAAAAAAGTTATTCGTGATGGAATTCAAGCGTGATAGTGTGATTTCCCTTTATTTGACTGGAAAGCCACAAGTGGCTATTGTTAGAGCACTCCAGCTTTCAAATGTAAATAAATCTTTGGTGTCTCGTACCATCGCTCGTTACCGTGATACTGGTAGCGTAGTCCGATGTCAAGTTACGTCAAGGACGAAAGAAAACAGCAACATCAGCAGAATTGATTCGAAGAGTAAAGAGGCGACTTGATCGAGAGCCGCTTCGCAGTGGCCGAAAAATGGCTCGTGAGCTGAACATATCGCAATATTCCATTCGTCAAATGCAAGAACCTACACCGCAGCAGAAAGAAAATAGATTCAAAAAGCTGCTTCGCTCGGCCAAAAGAGGTGAACTGCCGAATTTGGTTTAGTCCGGTGAGAAAACATTCGCTGTACAGCAGTTGGTAAGCAAACAAAATGATCCTGTTTACTTGCCAAAGAGGTCAGCTAAAAATGTGCACCTTCGGTTGGCCACCAGAACTCAAGCGCCTGCCATGGTGATGGTGTGGGCCGCCATGACAGCCGATGGTCGCTCTCCGCTCGTATTAATCGACCGTGGCATCAGAATAAATGCCGAATATTATCGCGAAAATATTCTGAAGGGTGTATTAAAGCCTTGGGCACCCAAACATTTTTGCCGCAGACTTTAGACATTCCAACAGGACTCAGCACCATCGCACTCAACACGCGCCACCCAAGAATGGTTACAAAATGAGGTTCCTCACTTCATTTTCTGCGCACAATGGCCACCAAAATCTTCGGATACTAATCCGTTGGTATATTGTGTCTGGAGTATTTTAGAAAGCAAGGTTGGCACTAAAAAATACCAAAGTATCGATCACCTCAAGCAAGCGCTTCGAAAGGAATGGGCCAAAGTACCGTAGGGCAACATTCGGGCAGCGTGTGACGGTTTCATTGGCCGTTTGAAGGCCATAATTCGTGCCAAAGGTGACCAATTCGGAAAAATCTAGACTTATTCTAAAATTTGACGCTAAAAAAAAATTTTAGGGATTATTTTTGTAGGGTCCTTTAAGATCGTGAATTAGGCTGTAATAGTAGATTTTTAGGAATATTTCTTATAGATTCCTTAATTTTTTAAATAATTTTTAGAAGATATTTTTCACAGGTCCCTCAAGGATCGTGAGTTTATTTAAAATCAATTTTCCAAAGACCCTCAAGGCAATAATTCTGGGTTTTTTTAAGCAAGTTTTTCATGGACCGCAGGTTTATAAGTTAGATTTTTTTAGTTTCATTTTTTCTATATTGGAATAAAGTGAATAGCTTAAGGTTTTAATTAAAATTTATTATTTCTAAAATTTTTAGTGATTTCCTCCTCAAAGTCTACCCACTCTAATGTGTCTCTACTCTCTGCAATAATGAGCTACTAAATGATCTTTTGTTATAAACTTTTTATTATTATTTTATTTTTATTTCATGATTTTCATTTGCACTGTGTGTTTTTGTATCGAACAAAAGCATTCAATTTACAATAAATTTATACTCAATTAGAGACGTGCGAAAAAAAAATCGGAGAATAAAAATTCGAATGAAAAAACCAAAACGTAACACGTCATCGGTCGCGATATGAGCCTATATATTGAATAACCCAAGCAATAGAGGTGTGTCAAAATCGACAGTCTGCTAGAAATTCAAATAATTTTTTAAATAAACAAAAGAAATTAAAATGAACACAAATATTGAAATCTATTTAGAAAAAAATATTACTATTGTTATGTAAATATTATTTTAATGTGATGGGATTTAAAATTTTATAAAATAAAATATTGGAAATATTTGTATAAGTTTTTTATATTTTAGTATGAAAATATTTGATATTTTCTCAAAAAATCGCAAAATATTGTGTGCTTAAATATACACAGCAGTTGAAAACGATGGGAAACTGGTTGTGGAAATCGAAGAAACAGCCGGTATTTTTAGAGAAACAAAAAATGCCAATGAGGGTCATTTCAACAAGTATAACCAGAAAACTAAAGGCAGTGAACCCATTTAAGAAATACCCTGCACCAATAATTTAAAAATTGTTTATTGCTCA